TAGCCATTAATGGTCTTGTAACTCACACAGTGATTGAATGGGACTATTCAAATAAGGAGTTTGTGACCCAACCAAAGGATTGGACTGGCTGCTTATAATGCAAATAAGGTGAATGGAATCCTAACAGAGGTTGGACCCTGCAAATAAGGTGTTGGTCGGTTTTGCCTTCCTGCTAGTCTTAAAAGAGAGCCAGTCCCAGAGTAGAGAGAGGACCTCAGTACCAACAAGAAAGAAGTGTGAGAGTGCAGCATATCATTTGGACCCAGGGTCCCTCCTAGATCCAGGAGGCAGAGAGCTATAACAATGGAGAGTGTGTGGGATGGCAAGAAACAGCAACAGAGAAATGACGACAACCAGGAGATTGGCATGAGATGGGGCATAGGGGCTTCCTTGCCCACAGAGCAAGGCAGCTACAGTGAGCTGATGTATGGGGAGCAAGAAAGCAGGAGGCTCAGACAGGAGGCTTCCTAATAGAGTTGGGGTGCCTCTCGGCACTTGGAGCTAGCCTCTCCAACCCGTGAGCGAGTAAGCTAAGTGCCTTCAGGCAAGAGTCTTCCTGGCAGAGTAGGTCCCTCCGTGTACTTATTGTTGGAGCTAAAGAGCTTTGTAGCATGTAACTACAGAGGCCAGAGGCCAGAGGCCAGGCCCAAGCAGGATTCAAGGCCCTAGAGAGAAGACCTGTCTTTGGGGCCTAGAGAGCCTTGCATAGCTAAGAGGAGCTAAGAGAGCTATCCTGCACTGAACAAGGGAGACTTTGCTTACATGCTTCCTCATCCTGATCCCAAGTTGTAACCTATAACTTCCCTAATAAACTCTGTAACCGAATATGGTTCGTGAGTTATGAGGGGCCACTCAGGTGAATTATCCAAACTAGCAGAAAAATAGAGCGTGCCATAGGAGTTACCACTGGTGTCAGAATTGACAAAAATACTGGAATTTGGAGGTGTGTTTGATCTCCATTCATAGGAATCAGCCTTGGGCTGATGATGATCTTTTTCCCCTCCTTCACTTGTCTAGTTAGAGGAAGTCTCATGCTGCCATTTTTGCAGCCTACGGATATTCAGTTGCTCTAGCACCATTTATTGGAAAGAATACCTTTCTTGTATTGAATTGCTTTTATATCTTTGTCAAAAATCCTTCTAGTCTTCATGGAAACAATTAGTCCTAGGGACTGATACCCCATCCGATGTGCGGCGTGTATGACTATGAGACCAGAAGAACTAGATGGTGCCCAGCTACCAGTGTCAACCATTTGGAAGGGAATCTATGTAGGAGATCCTGGATAGAGAGGGAGAACGATGTGGAACAAAACTCAAAATCATTTGGAGAAAAAAACGGGGGGGGGAGGGACCAGGTTTGCTGGTTCCATAGAGCCTGGTGGAACCAATGTGGCCCCTAGCTGCCCTTCATGTCTGGAATTGAACCTTCACACCTGTGGCTTCCAGCCAAGGAAAAGACAGGCATATGAGTTGAACATTTACCTGAGGTAGATAAACTCCCTGGAGAGAACCATCATGGGAGAAAGAAGGGCTGCTTATGCACTGGGAGACAGCTCAAGGGGCAGGAGTTCATGGAGGGATGGACACAGGGAAGAGGTATCTATCAGGAGGAAGTGGGAGGGGAGCTGTTGCATTGTGGTGAATTGTGGTCAATGTCATTAGACAAAGTATATGTGAAGTGCTGTATGGAAAGTGAATTTGCTCTGTAAACTTTCACCCAAATCACAATAAAAAATTTTAAAGAAAAATAAAAAGGTAGAATGACTTCAACCAGATGAAGAGGAATTGGAATTTATGGAGGTAAAAAGAGGAGAACTTTTCCAGGTAGAAGGGACAGCATGGAAAGTAGGACAGGAGTGAGAAATAGGATGGTATAAACTGTATATTATTATCATCTATTTCTGCATAACAAATGATACTAAAACTTAGTGTTTTAAAACAATAAATGTTTATTATTTAAAAAAAAAAATCAAAGATCACTAAAGAAGAAAGCAACAACAAAATAAACAGCAATCCTGCTTCACTTCTCAGTTCCACACTATAGTCATCTGTTTTCAACTCTTTTGGCAGTTTCTTCTGGTATTTCTTCCATAATTCTAAATAAAATGCTTACAATAATCTTTACTAATTTGCCTGTTATACCCATTTACTGATCTGTTAAGATAAATGAGCATTAACTATTATGCCAGGTCTCCACATCCCTTTTGAGTATCATTCCAACAAAATTAAGTAAGTTATTATAAATCAATGTTTATATTATTATGACTATGTAAGATTTTTTTGCTACAGAGCTAAGTGGAATTCTGTGAAATTACCAAATAATCTTATCCATCATATTTTTGTTTCTTCTTTAGTTAATTACAGTGTTTTTCATTTGCTTTTACTTTTTTATTTACCTGTCCTTATTTTTTTCCATAAGCTTCATTAGATTTATATTACACTATCATTATTTTCCAAGTGGTTAAATATATCAGATAATCTATCAGTTCCTTTTTTTTTTTTTTTTTCTCCTGGAGACCTCACTTCTAGAACTTTCTGGTCTTTTATTCCAGTATAATCTGTAGTTGTTTGTTTTCTAGGTTTACTTATCATTTCTCGTTCTGCAATTTTACCTCCTCATTTTCCTTTGTTCAATCCTGTTTTCTGGCTCTTGTATTTCTTTTTCTTTACTAATATTCTGTTTTGCCAGAGCATAGAATTCTAAGTTGAAAATAATTTTACCTCAGGAGTTTTAAGGCAATGCCCTTCAAATTACTATTGGTGCTATTGAATAATCTGGTGGTCTTCTTTTTCAAGCCTTTTCAAATGATCTCCCTCCCCCCCTTTCTCTGTACACTTAAAATAATCTCTATCTTTTTATTTAAATATGCTTTGGTGTGAGTCCTTTTTTCATTCATTGTGTTTGGTGCTTGTTTTTTTAATCTGAAGACTTAATGTTCTTCAGTTCTAGGAAATTTTTTACATTTTTTTTCATACTTTGTTTCCTTATATTATGTCAGTTCTCTCTGGAATTTTTGTCAGTCTGGTTGGATCTCCTGGAGCACAGATTGATACGATTTTTTCTTAAGGGATGATGTAGTAAACATTTTAGGTTTATGGGCCTTATAGTCTGTGAAAACAACTGTAGATAATATGTAAACAAATGGACTTGGCTAAGTCTCAATAAAACTTTATTTACAAAAACAAGTGGCCAGGCCAAAAGTAGTTTTCTGACACCTATTGTCAGATGACTCATATTTTCTTAACTTTTCTCATATTTTTTTAAGTCACTTTAACTTTCTGTTTTATATTCTGGGAAATTGTCTCAACCCTTCCTATTATCTCTTCTATTGAATTTGTTGTTGGTATCATTTTTAATTTTCAGGAGCCTTTTCTTGATTGCTTCTTTTTCATAGCATTTGTATTAATTATTTAGTATTGCTACAACAGAAATATCACTAGTAGATGACGTTAACAAACAGAAATTCATTTTCTTACAGTTTAGGCAGCTATTGTTATTGTGTGCCATCTAGTCAATTCTGACTCATAGCAACCCTATAGGACAGAATAGAACTGCCCCATAGGGTTTCCAAGGCTGTAATCTCTACAAAAGCAGATTGCCACATCTTTCTCCCATAGAGCGGCTGGTGGGTTAGAACTGCTGACCTTTGGTCAGCAGCTGAGAGCTTCTCCACCACCAAGGCTCCAGGGTGCCAGCTCTAAGGGGAAGGCTGCCTGCTCTGGGGGAAAATCCTTGCCTCAGCTTCTATAACACTGGTATTCCTCCCTTCCTCAGCAGTCTCCACATGCCATCTGTCTCTCTCTCATTTGTGGTTGTTTCTCTGCCTAATCTGCTCTTTATATATCTCAGAAAATGATTAGATCTAAGACTACCCTTAGTGGTATGACTTCATTAACATAACAAGAAAACCTATTCCTAAATGAGATTGCATCCACAAGTACAGGGGTTAGGATATATAGTTTTGAGGGACACAGTTCAGTCCATAACAGTAGCCTATTCTTGTTTTATATATATTGTCTCTCTTTTCTCACTAAGGATATTAATTATAGCCTTTTCAGAAGTCATTTTCTCTTATTGACTCTTTTTTTCTTGTGTATTTGAATTGGTTTCTTTTGTATTGGGAGCTTTCTTTGTCTGGAGAACCTTGGCTATCAGTTCTATTTGTATAGGTGATTAAAATTGGGATGATGGGACAGGTACTTAACCTTGTTGACGTCTACTTCAAATGATAAAATTGTTTCATTTTAGGCTATTTACATTCTCCAAAGAATTCTCCAGTCTGCCTGGTGTGGTTCAAACCTAGATATGGGTATAATGGGAGCAGAACAGGGAAAAAGGGCTGGGAATCTATTTATTCAGATTTTAACTTAGCTTCCAGTTTTTTAGCTTTGTGTTTGTGCCTCACCTTGCCTTCTACCTATGGAAGTTCTGAAGCAGAGTTAGTGTATCCCTCTGCAAGTACCTCCCTGGATCCTAGCTTCCTGCTCTTGTCCAAATCAACTAAAAGCCTTCTATTTGCTCTTTCTTTTCCCAAGTATGAGTTGAAATCTTTGTCTGCTGGTGTCTCTTGCTGCTTTTCTTTGTCTGTTTGGGTTTATACCGATTAGTTTCTTTATTGTCATTGTAGTGAGGCTACTGGATGAATTGGAGTAACATATTTGCCACCCAACTATGTTAAACAGGAATTTGAGAGATTAATCTTTTGAGAAATGAGTAGTAGGACATTTCATTGGCAGCTAGATTTTTTCGTTTTTGGCACTGTACTCCCCTATTTGGAAGGGAAATAACTTTCTTATTATCTGATTATAAAAGTAATACATACTTATTATAGAAAATAAATGATATGGAACTATATAGACTAGAGAGTGAAGAGTGCCCACGTCTCCAGCCCCAACAGTAGTTGACACCCACCTTTGTACTGCCAGACCTTATTGGTACATACACATACATACTGCCCTCACTTTTTCTTTATTCTAGCTCATCTGTTTCATTTCCTTCAGGTCACCAGGAAACCTAGAGAAGAACCGCTATGGGGATGTACCCTGCCTGGACCAAACTAGAGTGAAGCTGACAAAACGAAGTGGCCACACTCAGGTAGACAGACAAATGCCATCTTTTCAGGTACACTATTCCAAAGTGAAGCTTACTAATACAGTAGTAGAAAGAACAGTCTCTGAAGCCAAAGAGATAAGGTTTGAGTTGCCATTTTGCTATGTAGTAGTCTGTGACCACAGGAAAGTGCCTAAACATCCATCTGACAGTACTGTAGTAGAAAATAAATTAAATACTTTATGTGAACACTCATAGCGTAAGATCTGGAATATTATAGGTGCTCAATAAATATTAAATTATTTATCCTTTTACTCCTTAGTTGTAAATCATAGCCATATAGTCCAACTCAGTGAGTGTGTATATGCATCAATACAACTCAACTCTGACTATAAGTGACTTCTAATTTTTCCATCTAGAAGATCTGAGAAAAAGTTTGGATAGCTTGTATATAATAAATGTCTATGGATAGAGATAAAATGCTTAACTGACTTTTACATTATTAATTAATTTATTTAATTTTATTCAGGTCCTTCACATGCACATTCAACATCAGTGTCTTTGTCATCATTTGAACCACTTTTTGCATCAGTCTAAATATTGCTCTCCAGAGCATATCATCTTAATTTCTTATTAAGTGTATGATATTGTCCCTGGAAAGTGTGTTCTAAACCAGAAAAATCTATTAGCATAACATTAGGACAATTTTTTTTTTAAATTTTCATTCATCCTGTTTGCTTATTCCTTTATAAAATTGTCTTTAATAGAATTTATTTACAACAACATCTGTTGTTGTTATGTGCCCTGGAGTCGGACCTGACTCATAGCAACCCCTCCTTGGGTTTCTGAGGCGGTATTACAACAGTAGATTGCCCAACCTTTCTTCCAAGGAGTAGCTGGTGGGTTTGAACCACCAACCTTTTGGTTAGCAGTCAAGTAAGTGCCTTAGGCAATACGCTACCAGAGCTCCTACAACAACATCTAGCACTTGGAATTTTTAAGTCAGTGACTAAATAAGTATCAAATTTGTTTTTCCTTCTAGTATACCAGTTCTTTCTGGTTACTTCTATAAGCATTTAAAAAAATAACACAAGCATCGATTGAGGTTGCTGTTCAAAGTAAAGGAATTTAGAATGTCCCTTTACTGTGGCACACATTATGTTGTTGTTAGGTGCTATTCTGATCACCTAATGCCTCTCTGACAATATATACCACAAATGGGATGGCTTAAACAAACAGGAGTTTATTCTCTCACACTTTGGAGGCTTTAAGTCCAAGTTCAAAGTGCCAAGCTCTAGGGGCTGTGTGAAAGCCCCTCGACTTTGGACTTCAGCTCTGCCTCTTGCTCCCAGCCCGCTGAAGCTAGAGGTATCTCTTCACTCAGGCAGCTGCTGGCTGCTGAGGCTAACAAGCTGAAGGCCAACAAATAAAGGCACAGTCCTGATTTTACCAAACCACATGGCAGCCCATTGATTCAAGTCCATTGTAAGTCCCAAAGTCAGCAGAACATGGCAGGCTGCTGAACGGCGACTCAGCTACACGTAGGGTCCAGTGGACGTGCCATAAGCTAGAGATCATTCCCAAAGCTTCTGCAGACCACATCCCAAAGGCAGCTAGCTATTGAGCTGCTTGTGGTAGATCCCGCCCTGGAGTTCATTGCCAGTCTCATCATAGGGAATAACTACCATCAGCTGCCCAGCCACTCAACCAGGCCCAGCCAAGTTGACATATAAATTTAACTCCCACAGGTGCCATCGAGTCAGTTCCAACGTATGGCAACCCTATGTACAGCAGAACGAAAAACTGCCCAGTCCTGTGGCATCCTTATAATCACTACCATGCTTGAGTCCCTTGTTGAAGCTGCTGTCTAATTCCATTTCACTGAGGGTCTTCCTCTTTTTTCCTGACCTTCTACTTTACAAGCATGATGTCCTTCTCCAGGGACTGGTCCCTCCTGATAATATATCCAAAGTACATGAGTCAAACTCTGACCATCCTTTTAAGGAGCATTCTGACTTACTTCTAAAATAGATTTTTGGCAATCCATGGTATATTTAATATTCTTCACCATAATTCAAATTTATCAGTTCTTCTTTAGTCTTCATTATTCATTGCCCATCTTTCACATGCATATGAGGTGACTGAAGATACCATGGCTTGGGTCTCAGTCCTCAAGATGACGTCTTTGTTTTTTAACTATTTAAAGAGGTCTTTTCCGGCAGATTTGCTCAGTGTAATACTGATATCTTGACTGCTGCTTCCATGGGCATTGATTATGAATCCAAGAAAAATGAGATCCTTGATAGCATTTTCTCCACTTGCCATAATATTGCTTATTGTTCTAGTTGTGAGGATTTTGTTTTCTTTATATTGAGGTATAATCCATACTGAAGGCTGTAGTCTTTGATCTTTGAGTTAGTGCTTCAGGTCCTCTTTACTTTTAGTAAGCAAGGTTATGTCATCTGCATATTGCAGGTTGTTAACAAGTCTTCCTCCAATCCTGATGCTGCGTTCTTCTTTATACAGTCCAGCTTCTCAGATTGTTTGCTCAGCATACAGACTGAATAAGTATGGTGAAAGGATATAAACCTGATGCACATTTTTCTTGTTCTGAATGAGAACAATTCAGTGTTCTAGAATTCCCATTCTTTGCAATGTTATCCATAATTTGTTATGATCCGTACAATCAGATGTCTCTGTGTGGTCAATAAAGCATAGGTAAACATCTTTCTGGTTTCCTCTGCTTTCAGCCAAGATTCACGTAACATCAGTAATGATATCCCTTGTTCTCTGTCCTCTTCTGAATCTGGCTTGAATTTCTGGCAGTTCCCTGTCAGTGTACTGCTGCAACCATTTTAAAATTATCTTCAGCAAAATTTTACTTGTGTGTGATATTAATGATATTGTTTGATAACATTCTATTGGATGACCTTCTTTGGAATGGGCACAAATAAAGATCTCTTTCAGTTGTTTGGCCATGTAGCTGTTTTCCAAATTTCTTGGCATAGGTGAGTAAGTGCTTCCAATGTTAACATCTGTTTGTTGAAACATCTTAATTGGTATTCCATCAATTCCTGGAGACTTGTTTTTTGCCAATCCCTTCAGTGCAGCTTAGCCTTCTTTCTTCAATACCATTGGTTTTGATCATATGCTATCTCCTGAAGTGTTTGAATGTCAACCATTTCTTTTTTGGTACAGTGACTCTGTATTACTTACATCTTCTTTTGATGCTTCCTGCATCATTCAACATTTTACGTATAGAATCCTCCAGTATTGCAAATTGACGCTTTAATATTTTCTTCAGTTTGAGAAATGCTGAACATGTTCTTACATTTTGGTTTTCTAACTCCAGGTCTCTGTACATTTCGTTATGATACTTTTTATTTTTCTTGAGTTACCCTTTGAAATCTTCTATTCAACTCTTACTTCATCATTTCTTCCATTTGCTTTAGCTAATCTACATTGAACAGCAAGTTTCAGAGTCTCTTACTAACATCTATTTTGGTATTTTCTTTCTCTCCTGCCTTTTTAATGACCTTTTGCTTTCTCTATGTATTATGTCCTTGATGTCATCCCAGAACTCATCGGGTCTTTGGTCATTAGTGTTCAATATACTTTGGTCATGTTGTCAAAAGGGACCATTCCCTGGAAAAGGATATCATGTTTGGTAAAGTGGAGGGTTGGTGAGGAAGGGGAAGGTCCTCAATGAGATGGATTGACACGGTGGCTGCAACGATGGGCTCAGATATAGCAAGGATTGTGAGGTTGGCACAAAACTGGGCAGTGTTTTGTTCTGTTGTACATCTGGTTACTATGAGTCGGAGTTGACACAACGGCACCTAACAAGAACAAACATCAAATCTATTCTTGAGATGGTCTCTAAGTTCAGATGATATATTCTTAGGGTTGTACTTTGGCTCTCATAGACTTGTTTTAATTTTCTTCAGCTTAAACTTGAACTTGCACTTCACCAGTTGATGGTCTGTTTTGCAGTCAGCCCCCAGTTTTGTTCTGACTGATGCTTTTGAGCTTCTTCATTATCTCTGTCTCTTTCCACAGATGTAGTTGATTTAATTCCTATATATTCCATCTAGCAAGGTCCATGTGTATAGCTGCTATTTATGTTGTTGAAAAAAGGTATTTCCAGAGGAAAATGTAAAGATGGCGGACTAGGCAGAAAGACTGCACAGACCCACTTCAACAAAGAAAAGGGATACCACTTGACACAGACACAGAAGATAATCCTGGACCCCTGAGCCTTGAAGGGAGGGATATAGAAGTGGACTAAACCCCAACTAGCAGAAGAATTTGTGTGAAAATACCAAAAAAGGAGACATATGGAGCTGTGGTCTGGCAGCGATCCTGAGCTATCCTGATGGCACAGACAGCTTGGAGACTCCCAAGTGGTGATAGGACTTAAGAATTAACCTAAAAATCACCCTGCTAGCCAGGGACTGCATGGAGGACTGTGCACAGTGGCTGGGGAACAAACGGAGAAGGGGAAGAGAAAGGTGGGCTGAGCTGTGGACTATTGCTGGTTCAGAAGGCGCCACCGTTTTGAAGGTTTAGAAAGTGGCTTGACTATTTTGGATATTTAAAGAGACAGCGCTCTAGCAGATTTCTGGGGCTTAAGAACACGTTCCGCTTTCCAGCAACCCCAAGGACACTTGGGACCTGCAAGACTGACAAGTTTTTTAAAGGTTATTCGATTGTAATTTGTGTCTAATTGAGTAGGGGACAGCATCAGTCCCCGTGGGATGCAACTGCACCCACACCTCCTGCAACTTCAGTTACTGAGTGACAGCCACTACCTCCTTCTCCACCAATGGGCCAACGATAAAAGACCACCGGGAAGAGCTGTAATCACCCTTGACTGCTCTTCATAAACAGTTAACAGAGATCTAAATACAACAACGCCACAATGCCTCGGAGACAACAGACCATCACAGTCCACACAAAGAAGCAGGATAAAGTGGTAGAAACAAGGGAGCAGAATATGGACCCAGAACACATCCC